AATATGACAAATTTGAGAAATCAGAAAATTGTTTATGTCCCAGGAAAAAAAGATATTTTTGTGATTTTATTGTTATAATTAGAGTTGTCAATATGGGCTAGTCCATCCTATTCGGGCTAATCCATACACGCTTTGACATTTTACAGGCCAGACCAGGCTAGCCCATTTTTGGTGTGTGGGCCAGAAAACGACGGCCCAACCCACAAGTACTTGGGCTACAGACTTGTCGAGCCAGTCCACTTTTTTAAAAGTTATATATTTTTTTATAATTATTAAATTATATTATAAATTATAAATTATAATTTAAAAATATTATCATAAATATCGACAAAACTATATTACATGATGTTAATGTTACTACTTGTTAATCAAATCCACAAATAAAATTATCTTCATCAAGCATATCTGAATCAACTTGTGGGAAGGTTGTCTTAACATCTTCATTTTCATCTGCAATATATATGCGATTTCAATTATTAAATATTAAAAAATAACTAAATTGAGAATTATAATATTTAAATGTACACAAAAATATATTATCAAATTTGAGAAAAACCATGTAACCAATTTCGAGTAGCAACAAGTGTTTGGACATTTTCATGGTGGATGCAACTTCTATACTTGGTGATTTCCTAAAAAACTTTAAATAGATTTTGAGTTTGGATCTCTTTAATTTTAAATTTTAATATTATATTGTATTTTTTAATTAATTTTTATTAGCCCACGGGCCGGCCCTACCTATATTTCTCAGGCCCCACAAATTAGCAAGCTTATCCAGGCCGTGCTAAAAAGCCCTTTTTTGAAATGGGCTCCAAAATTTTTAGCCTAGCCCTATTAAATCTCGGGTTAGGCCAGGTCGGCCCAATATGCCTAGCCCATATTGACGGCTCTAGTTATAATGAATATAACTTTTAGTGATCATTGTGACATCTCCAATAGATTTGTTCTTGAAAGTACCCTAAAAATAGAAATATTTCCTTACACATCACGCTATTTCAGATTAAGAAGATGTGAAAGCATATTCACCTTTATAATAAGAGTGTTTCGAGATGTGGAATGGAAAATTACATAATAACTATAAAATAAATATGTTCCTTTCGAATAAATTGCACAATAGGTGACAATTATTGTAAACTAGATAATGTTGGCACGGGCCCAATAATATAAATGGTATGTTTTAGGGCTAATAACGGAGTTTTTGAAGCGATTGTTTGGGTGGATAAAGGAATAAGTTTTTTTATGACAAACCTGTACTTTCTTTGACGCTATTTAAAGCATAATAAAAATACCCATATACACCAGATGAGGTTCGGTGAATTTCAACACTATGAAAAACATAAGAAAAGTGACAGAGAAGCATATTGTCGTAAGATCACAAAGAACCAGAATTAACACTTTGAAAGAAAAAAAGAGCAGCAGTAAACATTTGTGTTCATTTTTATTTTTGTGTAATATATGCCATTATCAATCATTGCTTGTAGGATCTCTAGTATTCCCAGCGATGAAATAGTCCATATTAGTGACAGCAAAAGTTGTTGTCGTTTGCTCAAACCTAATATAAATCAAAAAAGGAAACATTATAATAGCAAACCAAATTAGTAATACTACAAATAAACTTGAGGGGTGGGTTTGAAGTATGCAGCTGGAAAATATAAGAAGCAGTACCAATATGTAGCTGCTCAAGTATAATAATCATGTACCCATCGAAATTTAGCATACCGCAAGAGAAACAACCGATAATAACAAAAAAGAAGCACAATTCTTTTTCAGTAACTTCAGAATTCAAAACTAACTAATATTTAGAGCAATAGCTATTAGTTCTGTTATGTATTGTGCTGTCATATTCCTCCTATTTGCTGCGGAAAAGTCTAATATATAACATTTTCACTGTTTGGCTGTGTACAGATCAATAGCTGGGGAATACCTGTGATTTCCACTTGAGTTAAGTTAGTTAAGGATTTAAGGTATAGACAATCATAGTAGATTTGTGGACAAATGGTTGGCATAACAAAGTCTGGCTGTATTTAGTATATATGAGAGCAGCTCCTGAGTTTATGAAAGCGTATACATCAAGTGAGAAAATAGATAAGGTACCTGTGACCACGACTGGGGATTCCTCTAAATCTTGTTGACCGCCTAGTCTATACATATGGTTTGGACTGGCACTTGAATCAGTGTCTCGTGAAAACAAAAGAAGCAGAAGGGGAACTGAGAAAAATAAAAGAAATTTTGGGTAAAAACATACCTGAGTTTGTAACTAAGAGATGAACTCGTCTGGAAGCAGAGAAGGAAGGAGAAGATAAGCTGACAAACAAAAAGGAGATAATTTATTATGATTGTTAAATGGGGAAACTATGCAAGACAATAGTAAAAGATGAACTATGATAATTAAAATAAACAAATGTATGTGTAACCACCAATTAGAATGGCGTGGAGGGAACAACAGAGTTATTAGTTTAGTGTAAGAGCAGTAGACCAATGGTTTTCCAAAGAAGAAGATATATGAATAAGATGGCAAAAAGAGTGAAAATCACTATTATATACAGGATACTGTAGACCTAAGTTGTGGGGACTCTTCATTTTTGTTGCCGCAACCGTGTTGAATTCTCCAAAAATATAGTACTTTTGAAGAATCACAAATACTATATTTCAATAATAAAGAATACCAAAAGAATTGAAATATAAAGTTATGAATAGAAAACAATTGATAATGTGTATATGTTATGTTTACATGGATATGATCTTACTTGTACTAATCTTTCTTTTTCCGCTATTCTTGAGGTTAATCAATTACGGGTGCTGTCTTTTTTACGTTTGGACAATTTTCATCTTTGAGCTATCACAGGATGCAAAGGAGACAGAATTGGTGAATCTTCTGAGATGGTTACCAGGTTATGATTTTTGGGGAGCTAAAAGACCAACCAAAAATTAAGGATCTTTAGAAAATTCGCAAACAGTGGACTAAAAATCAATAGAAATGATTAAAAAATGATAAATCTGCAAAGTTGAGGGAGTCATCAAAGTTCATCTGATCCAAAATATTCTTCCTTTTCAAAGAAAATCAGTGAAGTGCTTCCAAAATATTCCTCTTCGCTTTGCTAAACATTTCAGCGCAAATTTACAAACAATGTGAGTAAGTAGTTTGCCAAATTAACAACTATTCTGGCTCTAAGGGAAAAAAAAATTTCCATCATGGTTTTACTCGTAATTCCTAATCTTCTGACAGGGTGGTTTAAATAACGCTTAGTATCTAAGTATAAGATATTTCAATTTTCCACTGCTACCATACCTTAGGAAATCTGATTTAAGTTTATCAAGTTCTTTTCATTGGACATGTATTCAAAAGAATAAGGTTGACTCGCCTGTTCATATACCTTCTTTTAACAAAGAAATCAACTTCAATTGATTTCTCGCCTGTTCATAAATCTTCTGACAGGGTGGTCAACTACTTGATTTACACAGCAGACAATTTCACAGAAATTTAAATTCAAAATTATCAATCGACGCAATTTTAGAGTATGTAAACTTAAGACAGTGGCAACACACCTTCATTAATCTTCTCAAGCACCTCAAAGTCTATGCTTGGCGTGCCTACTTTCTTTTGAAACATTTTCGGTCGTTTTGGTAGACGGCGATGGAAGCAGGAATAAACTGAAGGTTAAATGTTTACTTTGTAGTGTAAATTATGTGCAGGGAAAAAATATGATTATAATTTATACAAATAAAAGTAAAATACCTGTATCATAATGGTGGACTGATCTATAGGACTTTGTCAACTCTGAGGGCAGGCTTTTCTGATGGAGGAGGCACAGTCAAAAGGATTTAGGGGCATCCAAGGATGGTTTCATAAGAATGCTTTTTGAATGATTTCGTTGTAGACTATGTTGTATGTTGAATGATCATTGTCATCATCTGGTGTTGGTGGGCGAATTAATATTTTTGTACAGTTGGAACTTCTTGCTCTTGATAAATCCACGTACAGTTGTCGATGTGAGAAAACAGGTTCTCGTAAATAAACTCCAACAAAGTCCAATGTTTGACCTTGAGATTTATTTATTGTCATAGCAAAACATAAACGTAAAGGATATTGTGTTCTTTTAAAAGGAACAGGCAATTTTTCATCTGCAGATGATAATAATGGTATTCTTGGAATAAATACATGCTTGTTTTTGAAATCTGCAGTTGCAATTGTTGCACTGATAACATGTTTTCGAAGATCACTACATATAAGTCTAGTACCAATGCACAAGCCCTCACAAGGATTTAGATTTCTTAGTAACATGACAGGGCAATATTTTTTTAATGTCAATTTGTGGGGAGGCAAACCAGCTGGATGTAGGGTGTGTAGAAAATCTTCATATTGACTTTGATCATTCGCTTCAATAGTCTTATCAAATGAAACATATGTTTTAGGATCACCAGGAAATTGAGTTATAAGCAAATCATTCATTTCATCGACGAAGTCATTTTTTGTCGTCAAAATTACACGAGAGGTCATAGAAGATACATTTGAAGAACACGTATGTAGATCCGGATAAGTTAGTCTAAATAGGACATCTAATAATTCATTTTCAGAAATAAAAGGTATAATAAAGCAATGGGGTATTTGAATTTTATCATTATCATGTACTTTTTCTTTTCCATTTCCTATTCTTAGCAAGTACTCACAAAATGTGGGGTCTGTTTTTGCTCGCATATTGTCAGATAATCGTAATTTTTCAAGGTGATTCCAAATTTCAGAAAACAGTAAACTCTCTTGAATGAAATCATCCTTTTTTCCACTGCGAACAACAGAAAGAGTTTGTCTAAAATCACCACCAAAGACAACGACTTTTCCACCAAATAAGATATTTGTGTCCATTAAATCTCTCAAGAGAATATCAAAAGCTTCTAGCAGTCCTTTTTGGCCATAGATACTTCATCCCATACGATTAATTTGGCATCACGTATTAAAGCTGCCAGTGAGCTTTGTTTACTGATGTTACAAGAAAAATTTTGATCTATTTCGAAGCTGCAACACCTGAACTTGCTGTTGCTAAGGCAACAAAACCTCTTGAGCGTACAACAGCTAATAAGGCACGATATAAAAAAGTTTTACCTGTTGCTCCAGGTCCATCAATAAAAAAAAAAAAAGCTCCTGATTTGTTGGAAAATATTCTATCAAGGATTGTATCATATGCTATTCGTTGTTGGGTATTTAATTTTGTCTGTAGCAACAAATCCTCTTCTGCAACAATAATGTTTCTCTCAAACAAACATTCAGTAGCTTCTGTGACATCTGTTGAAGATTTTACTGTCTCTGCAATCAATTTATATTCGTTAATATCATGTCCCATCAAATGCAAAAAGTCATTAATATGATTTAAAGTCAGGTAAGTAATATTTTTTGGATTCATGTTAGGTAGAATTTGAAAGTCTTCTGACATTTGAGCTTCAAATTGTTTCCAAATTTCTGCTGGATTGGCAGGATTACAATAGACCAGTAATGTTGCAAACAAACGTCTTAAATTATATGGCATTTGGTAAGTGACAGCCTCAGACATACATTCCACTAAGTTGTTATCACAATGTAACAAGCCTCTTTTTTCCGCAGACTCTCTAAATGTACTACAGTATTCAGCATCTACTTTAAGTAAATCCTCATATGATTTTGGTCCTCTAACATTCATGAGTAATAATCTAAGGTAATATCTTTCTCCTTCTGTTGGATGACATGTTACAACACGGCCAATAACAGAACGTTGTTTTCGACGTGTCCACATTTTGTCTTTTGTTGACCATACAAAGTATTCAGGAAATTCTTTATATAATAATGATAGTTGCATAGCATCAGTGTTTGTTCTATTCATAGCAAAAAATTCAGTTAACATTGTTTTTCCAATAGTCGGATTATTTAGAATTTTATCTACCTTGTCAATACTCTTAAAGAAAACAAATTGTTGTCCTTGTAAATGTAACTGAAGGTGATAGACAGATGGAGTCATTTCACTGATTGGAAATTTAAATAATCGCCAGGCTGCCTCAGGAGGTGAAACCCACCTACCAGATTGGTATTCTTTTATTTCATCTACGCCAGTATCTATATTACTATCATGCATTTGAAAAGTAATTTTGTCATGTCCTTTACAAATATATTTGTAGATATATTTGACTACTTTGATATCAGAACAAACTTCAACATTCATATGACAATTATACTTGCATAACAAGAAAGGATTATATGGAACAACCCATGAATTGTCTAGGAAAATGCCCTTCTTTTTGACACATTCTTTGGTTTTTCTCCGCTTGTATATTGGATATGAATTCTTTCCTTTGGATGTTCGTTCAACAAAATCTTTTGGATATTTGAATTTGCACTTACCTTTTTGTTTCATGCAACTATTTGTGGGATTTAATTTTCCACAAGGGCCATGCATCATATGTTTGATAACAAATGAGTATAAATCATGATCTACAACAGAATCAGGAAGTTCAGCACATACAAATTTATCATAAGATTCAGGAGTTAGCAATTTGTGTTCATTAGCAAGTATAATAAGGAAATGAGCATGTGGAAGACCACGTTTTTGAAACTCTATAGTATACATAAAAGCAGCAACCTTTCCAAAAATTTGTCTTTTTAATATATCTTTTTTTGATTCTTCTACTTTTGCTCTGAAAACTCTACTAACCAAATCGGGTCTGTTTTGTACTTCATCATTGAGTAGTAGTTGTTCTTTTATTTCTGGCCAAGATGGGTTGCATGTCATTGTTATGAATAAATCAGGTTTTCCAAAGTATTGCACCAATGCAATGGCGTCCATATATCGTCGACGCATGTCTCTTGGTCCTCCTATAAAAGCAACAGGTAAGAAATTTTTCTTTCCAATATTTGAAGCTTCCCTTTCTCCACATCTTAATATATCAAGAATCCCTTGCAAGACTTCGATTCTACATAAATCCTGGTTGAATGAGAAAAAGTCTAATCTTTGTGTTTCAACTTTTATATAAATATCAACTATAAATTGTTGAAATATTCTTCCACAATGTACTACCTGATTTGTTTCATCTTCTCTAATTTGGAATTTGTAACAGTAATACTCTCGGCAAGATATTGCATCTCTTTTTCTTTTTCCTTTTTGCAATGATTGAGCTTCCATATCAAGAAAACCATCTATTGAACACATATTTGATATACTGGGCAACTGCTCATGTTCACAGTGAGCTTTATTTCTTGTCATATTATTTGTTCGCAAGATTCTTTTAATTCCACAGTGCCATCCATTTTCTCCAAATAGAAATAATAATGGATATTGTAGTGGATCATAGCAGCCATAATAATAATTTACTAATTGAGCTCTATTACTATGAGTATAAATTTGAATATGTGGTGTAGAAATAGGGTGAGTAGAGTCTTCTTCAACCCATATTGCTGCGATTTCTGAGGTAGTAGGTAAATTATGTGTTCTTTGATCTAAAGTTGAGTCACATTTAAGTGCAATGTAAAAATCAGATAAGTCTGAAACATTGAAGAGAGATCTTAGGAAAATACTATATGGGTTAACTTTTAGTATGTCCATTAGTTTTTGAACTATTGACTGGTCAATTTTATATTCTATTGGGGAGTTCATTATCATGATCATAAAAGTATAACTGCAAATTTTTGGGTTTGTCATTTGAAGGAATCAAATCATCTATAAAATGGTACATTTTTCCCTGAACTTTGAATGTGTAAACACCAGAGTTTCTTTTCGCTAGTTCTTTATCGTACTTAACACCCAATGAAGTAAATGCAAACATATTATTGTACGTTCTAATATAAGTTTGAAAGTTTTTGGACTCCTCAGTTTTTGCAAAGTATAGGTTTGATAATTCAGTTGGCATTTTATATGATGTCAGTCTTATTGAACCATTACTACAACAAAATCCAAGAGGTTCGTACTCAAATTTTTTGGCATTACAATATTGACAGTTGGAAACCTTTTTTAAAGCAAGATATTCACTCCGGTGGTTGGTTGTGGCCAGATATACTCCTTTTGTTTTTCTAGTATCTGAGTTTTTAAGAAAGATCATTATAAGTAAAGAGAGCACCAATATTGAGGAAGAGAGGACATTACTGTATTGTAAGATTTGTGCGGACCTTTGGTTGGAATTGTATTTTGGATCTGAAGAGCTTGGTTAGATGTGTTGGATACGCTCCCTTATATGCAAAAAGTTGTAGGTTACAACAATAGCGTATATACAATATTCCACAGTTGAGTAAAGACAAAGTTACCTGTTTCACTAATGACAGAGGACGTGCATAAATCCTTTCCTTTTTTTTTGTTATTGTCTGATGTGCTCACAAATAGCTGAGGACGGGCAGCTGGGACAAAGAGTAGTTACGATAATTAAAGTTGTAAATCTAGTATTGATAGATGCACAACACACAAGTAGAATAGGAGTATTTGAATATCCGTGTTTCGAACCTTTTTGAACAACCGGAAGTGGCTCTCGTATGGTAAGAGCAACCTGTTTTGGGACTCGTGAACTGCACCAAGATGATGTTGGTTGCTTGGGGACAGCTAGTGTTGAATTTTGAAGGATAGAAGATATTTCGCTATATGTATTACGGCGTTTGAGTTGCGCCGCAACCTTCATTTTTTCTTTGTATATATATTTGTTTGGCTCTTTTGAATCCATCAGTTATGAAAGTTGAAGCAACCCTTTTTTTTACCTGTAGATATTTACAACACAAATTCAACGAAATGATGGTAAAATGCATAAGTTATTTGGAATACTTTGTCAACCGCGCAGAAGAAAGAAGACACAACGACATCAAGGATACTGTTAATAAAAAATCTTATAATAAAGTTGAAACTATTATTTCCTCTAGTTAACTATTAAGTTAATTATTGAGGTATGACACACCATATGCAAAAGAGCAAAGACACAACAAATCAAAGTTGATTTATTATCAAATGTTTTCTTACATTTCTTTTGGCAGAACCTCTGTAGGTAAAACTAAATCATTCTCTATTACATAAATGATTTATTTAGTGTGCGAAGGAGGTGTTACCATTTCCTAAGGATCTGCAGTGGAATCTAATAATTCCATAACACTCCATTTAAATTGTTCAAACTGTAGAAGTCCAATGGAAACTATCTAATATATTTTATATTCATGTCGTTACAAATGTTTCAGAGAAAGTGGTAAATCTGTGTTCTTCATGGCAGCATTTCACTGTCCATGTAGCATAAGTCAAGTCGTATATAGGATTTATGCAACCAGATTCTATAATTTGTCTTCTTCTGAGTAAAGCCGTGGAGAAGGAAAAGTCATCGCCGTAAATTGGAGATTACATATCTGTAAACACGCAACAGGAATTCAATTTTACTTTATTGTTCGATAACAAAACATATTCTTTAGCTATTTTTCCTGAATCCTCCTTTCACATACCTACTTTTAATTAAAAAAATCAACTAACCAACAGTAAGGTCTGGTATTTGGGTGAATTTTAAATTTTTTCATTTTTTTATTAGCAAAGATGTATTTTTTTTTGCAAATCCTACAGATGACTCAATTTGATTGATTTTTGAAATGAAAAGTATCAAACTAATTTACTGTATTAGAATCTGAAAAACAATAGGAATATGATGTGGGTCTGGACTAATGAGTTAACAATGGTAGTTTAGATTTGGGGATTGCAAATTTTGGAGAAGAAAGCGAAAGGAAATATTACCTGGAATCAACGGAGGCAAGAGCAGGTCAAGCACATGAAGAATGGCAGCAAGCTGAAGCAGCGGAGAAACCAAAGAGAAATTATATTTTCTATTGAAGACAGATCGATAAGAGTGAGATTTACTCGAGAAAGATAGATGAGAGCGTGAGACAGTAAACGCGGCAGACGCTGAAATGAAGGGGGTTATCTAGGGATGCCGAAATTACTAATTTGTCCTTATTAATGGCAGTCAGGCTAACATAGTACAACTTAGATGCTAGTACAATACTTGAAGACGCTTTCCACGTGTTTTATGGCCAATCAAAGTGGGACTATACACATTTGACTGGTTTTAGTTCATCTGTTTGGTGGGCCTCAATGTACAATTTGTGTAGCTTTTACGATGACAACTTAAAGTATACTCCATATCAAAGTTGTGTCATATATATCCAAATGCTTTGTGTTTTTTTCTTTAGTATTTAATAATAGATAATGATATTAATTAAAATCAACATAAAATATACAAATAAAATAATTTTAATAATATTTGTTGAATTTGGTTTCAAATTAAACTTTGGTATATGACTTTATCACAAAAAATTTGGGTATTATAAGCATAATAAAAAATGATTATTGGGCCCAACATATTTTTTTATTTTTTATTTTAATTTATGTGACATTAATAAAATTTTAACGGTCAAACAATTTTTTTGTATGTTCTTTAAATTTTAAGTTGTTGATTATCGTGGTTAATAATACTTTATATGTAATTTTCAATATTCTCTTTGTCCCAATTTATGTGTCATTGGTAGAATTTCGAAAGTCAATCAAATTTTGTATATGTCTTTTAGATTTTGAAGTTATTTAATTATTATGAGTTCTAGTACATTTTACGTATATGTTACTTTTTCTATCCTAAACTATGTGACATTAGTAGAATTTTGAGAGTTGATCCAATTTTTTGTTTGTCCTTTAAATTTTGAAGTTGCTAATTATTGTGTGATTTGTAGTACGTTTCATGTTATTTCAAATAATAAATGTTATTTCCTCTATCCTAATTTATATGGCACTAATAGATTTTGAGCTTCAACCAAATTTTATAGATATCTTTATAATATTTTAGGGTTTAACTACCTCTTTTTGATTTTTAATCCATTAATATGCTTTCTTCACAATTATCAGTAGAGCTACCTTAAATGGTCATGTGGCGCTCTCTATGACCTTCATTGTCATTTTTCTTTTTTCTCCTTTTTTGAAATTTTTTGAATTATATTATTTTTAAAAGTTATTTTCATAACTCACACTTCTTCATCTTCATAAATTATACTTTTAATTAGTATTATTAATAATATTCATAACTTTCAAACCTTTTATATTCATAACCCCAAAAAATTCAATTTTACATTAAATTAAAATATTCAACGTCTTTCTTTCTTTGGAGAGAAATGACATTAAATTAAAATGTTTGCCTCAATATGCTTAAGATGCTAGAATTCTTAAAGTTCATTTTAATTTTATGTATTCTTTTGTTATATATGTTGTATGTTGTTTAATATATTGATAGATTTTTAGGATTTTTTTTATTTATATAGTAGAAATCTAAGTCAATAGAATTGCTCCACTTGGGCATAAACTCCCTTTTATAATATAGTAGAATTTTGTTATATATGTTGTATGTTGTTTAATATATTGATAGATTTTTAGGATTTTTTTTATTTATATAGTAGAAATCTAAGCCAATAGAATTGCTCCACTTGAACATAAACGCCCTTTTATAATATAGTAGAATAGAATGTGAAGGCACTTCATCTGTCTCTCTATATAATAATACATACATATATAGAGAAAGAAGATGATATTTGTCTTCATTCGCTGCTCACCTCAATTATCATTACCCTCATGGGGAAGTAAGAGTATCAGTTTGTCGAAAAATTATATTACGTATATATAAAATTAAAATTATTTTTTATATTTATTAAACCTTTTTAGTAAAAATTTTGATTTGTCATATACCAACCAACAAATAATCGCTAAGTCGAATTGAGTAAAAAAATGCTTATTAAGTTAGCAATAATTTAGACATATAATATTCGATAACCAATAAATCAAATCATTATATCTAAAAACTTAATCAAACCCACCATTATGAACCTAGTTATATATCTCGTGAAAGAAAAAACACATAAAAAAAAAAACAAAAAAAAAAGTATCCAACTCACCAAGCACCTAAATTTCACGGGTTCCTCTTAATATGAGACAATAATTGTCGTAATGATTTGTCATTTTCATGGAACATTTTAAAACTAATAATGGAGATTGTACTTTTAGCATTGTGTGTTGTACCTCATGTAATATCTATACTAGTAATAAAATAATCTATTTTTGCAGTACACAAAGTCATCATTCTTAATTAATAATTAAATATTCTGAATTATTATATCACTTAATTGAGATTCTAATCAGAGTTTGTCTTTTAGTTAATCGAGGAACAAATCTCAACCAACTAGCTAAATTGGTTCATTCGTTTTATTATATTTGGAAATAATTAACCTTTGATTTGTAATTTATTGTAAAAAAGCTCCATAATGTTTGTTTTTAAGAATTAACCTAATTAGAGTATAGCATATGTATAATTAATATATGTATATAATTGTGTATAATCCATGCGTACTAGTTAAGAAAAGTAAATATTAAACACTGAATTTGACTAGCTATTTATGTAATGTTTTCGTTGTTCTTCACACGGTGACGAAATCCTATAAAGAAGCACACAAATAAGCAAAAAAATTAATATATTATATATATACATATAAAATAAATTTTTTTTAAAAAAATAAATAAATTGAAGAATTCTACATGGTGTATAGTTACCTAGTTAGAATTTACAGAATAGAATTCCAAAAGAATGGAATCTCTAGGCAAATGTAGCACGTGGTTGTAACATATACTCTTTTTATGACAAGACTAGATAAACAAGGTGATTTTCAAATGATAACTTTAAGAGTCGTTTGGCGAGAGACATAAGATAAAATAATTTTAGAAATGAAATGTAAAGGTATTTTATCATGTATTTGATTGGAGGTATTAGGAAGTCTTGAGATTATTTATTTCACCATTTATACCTTAGGATAAATTATTACACACATATATGGTGAAATAATTTATCCCAAAATAACTTATTTCAAAATAATTAATCTCAGAATAATTTGTGCCTAGTCAAGCGACCCCTTAATGTGTAGCTAACAAGAAACAAGATTAATAAAGTAGAAAGCACCTAGGATCCCTTTTAAATGGTAATCCCACTTCATCTTTTTCTTTTAATCAAATGGAAATAATTAATTAACCAAGTTGTTTATCTGAAATGAACAACTAAAAGGCTTGAAGATCAAAAAGTTGATTAGCAAATAATTGTAGTAGCTAGGACCATGTCAATTATAAGTATTAATAATACTAAATGTTATTAACAATTAAAACAAGGGATATGAAATTTTCCATCAGAGAAATACATGATGTATAATTAACATGGAACAAGAATCAAATTAATATAGAGAAGAAAATTGAAAGCTCGTTGCTCTTTTGATAATTTTGGGTTGATTTTGACTAAAGAAACTTGAAGAATTATGCAATTAATATTAGATTTTATTTGGCTTGAAAATCCAGTAAATCTTTAAAATTTGGACTATAAATCCCAGTGGCTTCCTAGAATTTCTCTCACAAATACTAAAAAAATTCTAGTAATCCATTAAATTTCGATAATCAGCATAATCTGTTGTGTTGATAATATTTACAGAAAACGATGATTATCATGATTTGACCATAAATTCTAACATAAGTCAAAATTGTCAACTAAGATGCTGAACAAAACTTAGCGACCCGTCAAAATTTATAGCCAAATTCTAATTAAAATTAGAACACAACATAATGATGTGTACGTTAGTGTATTTCGACGTAATATATTATGACAATTACTAAATTTGAAGAAATTAAATATTGATAATCACCATAACATGTTGTGAAACCATTAACTCTTACGTACGTGAAAACATTTTGGAACTTAAATTAATTGTGTTTGAGAGATTAATATAACTAATATTTGGAAATAAAAAACTTAAATTAATTGGGTACTCCTTTCTCAATTTTGACAATTACGTGGAGTGGAGATTAGTATATCAACTTAATCATATACATAATCCCATAAAGATTTCCATCGAGAAAATGCTTCTTCACAGACCACACATGTATATAGCACTAACCAGGATTATCATTTACTGCTTGACCTTTTTGCAAGTGGTATACTTGTCGCTTGATTGCAAGCTTATTCAAATTCGAACTAATAGCAAGTTATCTGCTTAATTATAGTTTATTCAGAATTGAATTATTTGTAAGTTATCTGCTCAACTATGAGCTTATTTAGAAAACTATGTCTAGACATTCAAGATATGATGCATTTATATATTTTTACTTTTTATCCCAATTTATCTAACACACTTTTTTATTTTATTTCGTCCTTAAAAAAAATACCAACACTTTTTCTTATTTGCAAATATATAATGACAATATATTTTCTCCCACTTATTCGAATTTTTTTTTATTTTGAGGTCATATCTAGTATTCAGAGTTTGCCTCGATTTGGTACCGCTCTCGCGGCCCGCACCGAAACAGTGACGTAGAACAAAAATTCATTTATTTGCATCAAGCTTTCGAGGGGCTCATTCAAGGCTTACTAGAGACTGAAAAAAACGTACCTACCACCTTTTTGGATAACAAAAATATTGTCTTGTAATTACAATATTACAAAATATTTTATATATTTTAAATTTTCTTCTAATCAAACTACATCACATAATTTTTTTCTTTCTAATTTCTTATTTGATATGCACTCTTCACATTGAAGTCCGATTAAATTTGAATTAAGTCGAGATTACAAGAATTGATTGAGAGGGGGGGGGAGGGAGTATATTTGAACCCTTGATGAAGATAGGGGCGAATTTTACTCCAATTAGTACTAAAATAATATGCGTTGCTCAACCTTTGGACGAATCTGTTGCACTGAATTTGACGTTATAAGAAAGCAACAATTTCAGTCCAATAAACACAATGACTAAAAGACAACACTATAACCAAAAAAGACAACACTATTACTGAAAAAACACACATGTTCCCTTTCTAAATTTCATACCAGTATTAAATTTCTCTCTTTTTTTTTTTTTCTTTACTAAGGTCGTTTTCAGTGTTGTAGTTAGTACCACTGCTAGGATTTCTCAGACCCCATTCCATTGATCCTTTTCTAAGGTCACAAAAAGAAGTTGGTTTTTTCATTCTGTTATTTCAAGATTGGCTCAAATTCTCATGCTTTTCTGTTCTTGACAAGTGGAATCATTTTTATGGGCCTTTGTTTAAAGTGGGTTTTCGTTTGAAAGCAAAAATTCTTTATTATCAAGAAGAAGAAAAAATTCATTTTTGTGACTTTTGGGTACTTGGGGTTTTGAGATAATTCTTTTTGGTGATTTGGGTATCTTTCTTTTTCCTTATTGGTTGTTTGTTTCAGCAGATAAGGGCTGGTTACAGTCTGAACCAACATATTTTTGAGTGATTTTGGGAAAAGATTGAATCTTGTTATTGTTTTTAGCTTGGTAGTGGAGTGTAATTGCTGTAAGTATTGTGGAGGTGAATTGTAGAGTAAAAAGAAGCAGTTTTTACAGCACCTAAGGGGATCTTGATTTGAAAAAAAAAATCAATTTTAGAGCAAGTATTGTTGAGGTTTTGATACTATATAGTGAATGTTGTAAATTTAGTTAGCTTGTGGTAGTTTGTTTGACTAAGTGTTTGAAATTTGCAGCTGAGTTCTACTTTGGACATAAAGCCAAAGTCTTGAGTACTGTGGAGAAAGATTGAATCTTGTTTTTGTTTTCAAAATCTTTGGTTTTTAACTTGGATAGTGGAGTGTAATTTGATGTAAGTATTGTGGAGGTGAATTGTTGTGAATGCAAATTGTAGAATAAGAGGAAGTGATTTTCTGCGTACACTCTATCCTCCGTAGACCCCACTTGTGGGAACGCACTAGGTTTGTCGTTGTTATTGTTATTAGGGATCTTGATTTGGAAATATCAATTATAGAGCTAGTAGTAGAGTTCTTGGAGTTTTGTCATATCAATGATATTCTTGCAGATATTGATAGTACTATATAGTTGATGGTGTAAATTTTAGTTAGTTTTTGGTGGTGGTGAGAATTGGAGATGTCAATTGTTTCACCCCCTCCAAGTTCTTCTACACCATTTGCAGCTCCACCAACTGCTTTGAATTCTCCAGCACCTATATCTCAGCCCAATGAAAACTCATCTTCGATTGCATCTCCACAATCTGCTCCTCTTGTAGCAACATCACCACTGCCACAATCCCCCCCTCCTCCAACAAATATGACATTGCCTCCTCCAGCCTCATCTCCACAACCACAACCACCAATTTCTACTCCAACACCTCCTGCAAAATCTGCTCCTCCAATTATTAATCCTCCACCTACACTGTCTGGTCCGCCTGCTAGCAGCTTAACACCACCTCCATCTTCTAGTCCACCTGTTAGTTCGCCAGAACCTCCATCATCCAGCATAACAAGTAGTCCACCACCATTACCACCTCTACCAGAACCAACTCGTCCTGCAAGTTCACCTCCACCACCATCGACACGTCCCCCTTCATTGTCGCCTCCTCATTCATCAACAAGCCCCCCTGCATTGTCACCTCCACCACCTGTGCAAAATCCAAGAACTCCTCCAGCACCACGATCACCAGGGAATCCATCTCCTGAACCTCCTAAAAGGTCACCGCCATCATCCAAGCCACCTGCGAATGCACCTCCATCCAAGCCACCACGAAATACTCCAGATTCTCCAGCCTTAGTCCCTCCCAAAAATTCACCCCCTTCACCAGCTGCATTACCTCCTATTAATTCAGCATCTTCTAGTTCACCCCCTACAAACTCATCTCTACCAACACCTACAGCACAATCATCACCACCTCAATCCACCAATGGTGCACAACCTTCTCTTACTCCTCCTTCACCATCATTTCCTTCAGGCAACACTACTACATCCAGTAACAGTTCAGCAGTAAAATCAAAGGATATAGGGGATGGAGCCATTGGTACTGGAGGGTCCGTTGCAATTGGCATCATACTTGTGTTTCTGTTGCTTGGTATTGTTGGAGCAGCGGGATGGTGCATATGGAAGCGAAAGAAAAAAGATTCAGGCCTGAGTGGTGGTTATATCTTGCCAACAACTCTGATCTCCTTTCCAAAATCAGGTACTGTTTGGATACTGTCAAATCATTGTTTAAGTGTGTTAATCCATGTTTTACATGCTGCAAGCACCATTTGTGTTATCTATAAGTCATTCAGATCTTTTGAAATGCAATCTGAGTAGATGTGGAAATACAATTCAGGTTCTGCCTCGTTAAAGTTTCGAGAATCAAAACCTGAGATTGGAAATGGAGCTGGCTCCAATATTGCGAACACGACAGGAAACACTGGTGGATTAGGTCATTCAAAGCCATGGTTTACTTATCAAGAACTACTTGAAGCTACTAATGAATTTTCAGAGCATAACCTATTGGGCGAAGGTGGATTTGGTTCCGTGTACAAGGGATGCCTAGCAAATGGGAGAGATGTAGCAGTAAAGAAGCTTAATATTTATGGGAGCCAGGGGGAACGTGAATTCAGAGCTGAAGTTGAAATCATTAGTCGAATACATCATCGACACTTGGTTTCACTTGTAGGTTATTGCATTTATGAGAACGGAAAGCTCCTTGTATATGACTATGTCCCCAATGACACCCTTTACTTCCATCTCCATGGTAAATGTGGACTTTCCAGATTTCAACATTCATTTTTGGCATTTGGTAACTAAAGCTAGCTGTTAATACTTGCAATTTACAAAATTACAGAGCAGGGAAGAACTGTTATGGATTGGGCAACACGTGTTAAGATTGCTGTTGGTGCATCCCGTGGAATAGCTTATCTGCATGAAGATTGTAATTACTGTTCTCTTCCTTACCTTATGAGCTGTCCATGTTTCTTCATTTGATTTCTTCTCAGGATGAACAAGATAAAATGCTTACCTAACGACTGACCACAATTTAGGCATCACCTACTTGTGTTGAGAAATTACTAAAATATCTTCAACAATCTTGAGCAGCAAGTATGCAAACACTAACAATGAAATGCTTTCTCCTTATGATATAGTTGGCTCAACTAAATTCTATCATATAAGAATTATATTGAACATACTTGGGAAGGTGACTGTTATGGTGTGGTATATGTTCAGTCACAAATGAATTCTATCTTATAAGAAATATATTGAACAGACTTGGAAAAGTTACCATAATGGTGTGATATGTGATTACATATTCTGTTTGGTCTTGTTATTTGACCTATTATTGGCCTTCAGCTAAATAAGTATCGCTGAAAGATGACATGAAATTTTCCCAAAATTCAGTCTTTGAAGTGAGTTTAAGTATAAATTTCTAATATGATATTCAATTCTTGCTTCTTTTGGTTTATTCATTTCTATTGATTGTGATGGCAGGCTGTCCTCGCATCATTCACAGAGATATTAAGTCACCTAACATTCTTTTGGATAACAACTTTGATGCTCGGGTATGCCTAATTCCTCAAAACTCCTTTATTTTGCATTGTTTTTCTTGTAGACTGCCTTTTACAATCGTTTCACTTTTTCACAGGTTGCTGATTTTGGATTAGCTAAATTAGCTCAGGATGCAAAAAGCCATGTTACAACACGTGTAATGGGTACGTTTGGGTAGGTTTCTCTTCCAACGTTGTCATCAAATAAGAAAATATACTGCCATTTTTGTACTGCCCATGTTTACTCTAATTTCTTGGTTTGGATTTAGATACATGGCCCCTGAATATGCATCCAGTGGAAAGCTGACTGAAAAATCCGATGTATTTTCCTTTGGAGTTGTGCTTCTGGAGCTAATTACTGGACGGAAGTCTGTGGATGCATCTCAGCCTTTGGGGGAGGAAAGTCTAGTTGAGTGGGTATGTTTGTAGCTGACTTCTCTTTCTTTTCCTCTTAAGTCAATAGTGATGTGTGATCTTTTTCATTATCATTTTTACACCTTCTATGAGAAATTGAGTCAGAATATTGTAGTTCCTCCTCATTTTTCTCACTTCATGAATTTGATAGCTGATGTTTGAAAAAAATACTGTAATTACTCTACAGTGTAGGCCTCTAGTTGCAGCTCTAAGAGGGTTCCCTTTCCTTGGTTTGACCACACCAATGTCTTGAGTATGAGATTGATGTGATACAAGTTCTGAAAACTTGAGACCGATACATAAAGGATTTGTATTATTGATTAATGTTGCCCAAATCACGTAACATGGAATGAGATAAATCAGGTAAGTTATAGTCTCTTAAGGAAAATCTTAAAGCAGGTACCAAATAAACGTACCTCAAGTTTTGGACTGCTCTAATATCCCTTGTGAAGTTAGGGGAAAGCAAGAAAATGTGGAAAACCGGTTGAAGTTTTTCCGTATTTGTTGCTGGGAATTCATCCCAATTCGTCTGGTGCTACATGACATAATAGGAGAGAGAATATTGGCTTAGTTATTTGGGCACTAATGAAATTAGACAGATGTGTGCTTACATGTTTTAGAAAAATCTCCATAATTTTTTAGGATCGGTTTATCTCCAAATACATAATTGTTATTTTGCACACCTTAAATTTATGTTTAAAATATCAACCTTATCCTTGCATGTGCACGTTGCTATTGATCTGTTTTAAATCCTTTTGATTTAGGTGTTATATTGAAATACTTTGAATTGATTCACTTCGGTCTTGTATGATCAACCTTTTAACTAAACACAGAGGGATAAATGTTATAAGTCATAGTTCAGGCAATTGCTAAATACAAACAGTGGCGAATCTAAAGGTAAAAAATAAGGCACCGGAACCCGTGGTCTCTTCGTAAAACTAGATATTTTATGTATATATTTTCTAAAATTTGTATATTATTATATTTTTGCACCCGTGCTATAAGAAGTCTATCTGGTCCACATGGTTAAATGTTGAGCTTTTTACCTTGAGGATGAAAAATCAATTCTCACTTAATACATTTTTCTTGATGCATCCATGTTCGGATCAATTCCCACTTAATACATTTTTCTGGGTGCACCCATGTTTGAAAAATTCTAGATTCGCCTCTGAATACAAACATATTTATTTGTGACCTTCAGCTTCATTAATTGTACTAACTTAGCTCTGTGTTGGTGCGGGCATCTGTAGATAAATTAGATCTAACATAACTGCTGCTGAATACATTCATTTAATTATTTTCCAATCAACTATATGGTGATGTTTAAGTTAAGCTATGTTGTTTGGACTCTTCAGTAATGTTGATAGGTGCGTGTCGGATCCTCTATATTTAGTGTATTTTTTGATGATCCGACACAGGTGTGGCAACATTTTTGGAGTGTTCGAGCAACATAATGTTTAAGAACTGTGTAATTTGTGTAGCTCCTGGACACAATTAGTATGAAGGCTGATCAAAAGACTTATCTTTATCTTGAAAATAATACGATTACTGGTAACTGTAATTTACAAGTGAATAACAATTGTTTGTTTCATTGCTATATATTATGACTATGAGGACTTGCCTATGGCCTATGACACCAAAAGAGCATGTAAAGTCCTGTTATAGAAAAATTCTTAACAGTATATGATGTGTTCGGTATGAAGGAAAGTGATTTCTTGAAAAATATTACTATCTAGGAAAATAAGTGGGTTGTTACTTATTTTCTTTTGTTGGTAATGTAAGCAAAAAATATGAGTGGACTGGTGGGGTTGGGGTCTATGAGAGTGGAGGGGGGAGGTGAAGATGAGGTATGTTGGAGAGTGGGAAGGGTCACTTGTGGAACTTGTTTTCCCTACTTTCTTTGGGGAATCATTTTCCTCATTTTTAAGGAGCTGATTTTTCTTAAGAAAATGTTTTCCAAAAATTTTGACCAACCAAACATTGAAAAATTGGAAAATATTTTCCTTCATACTGAACACACCCATACTAACTATCTATTAGAACGACCAAATAGATATACTGGTTTAAATAGTAATTTTCAAGACTCGAGAGCTCATCCAAACTTTAAAATATAACAACCTTAACATGATCTACTAAAGCTAAATGCTTTTATTTCTTTGTTCATTACAAGGAAAAGGCCCAAATCTTATCTTTTCTATGGTTCTTTCAGCTATTCTTACATATTCGGAGGGAATAATGCTGCTTTCTTTTGTCTCATAGAATTGAGATGACATATATTTAAAGGATAACTCTCTTCTCCCAAGCCCTCAAGTCTCTATATTAAACATATCGGTTGGACTTAGCAGCATAGCGGAATCTTTCAGAAAAACATAAGTCTCGCTGAACCCGATATCTTAGTGCTGAGTGAATCAAATCAATTTGTTATTTGAGTATTAACATTGTGTTGGATGTCCTGATCATTGAGATCTGATAAGGCAGACTTTTTGCTTTGATTTCTCCAATGGAGGATTCTATCTTCATTTCTTATACTCTATTTAGTGATTCGGTCGTACAATGGTCTGACTTGGTTTCAGATAGTAATGGGAATTATGTAGTCAGTTAACACCTGAAACATTGAGGTCTGGTTGCTTTTGCAACAACCAAAGCAACAACTCCACAGAAGTTGTCTGCTTAAATTTCGTTTCAACTTGCTCATGTTACCAAAACCGTAGATCCTAAGACAAGTCTAAACTTGAAACTGCAACAACCATTTAATCGATCATTAGAGAACCAAAAACCAATAACAGTAGCAACAGAGATCTTATATCCCTTCTCATTTTGTCGAGCAGGATCCACTAACTGCACTTTAATTTGATTGCTTCCAGGCTCGACCTTTGCTTGGTAATGCACTTGAAAAAGAGGAATTTGATCAGTTGACAGATCCTCGCCTTGGGAATAATTACATTGACAGTGAGATGTTTCGAATGATTGAGATTGCTGCAGCTTGTGTGCGTCACTCAGCTGCAAAGAGACCAGGGATGGGACAGGTAAATTCATTTACTTTACTGGAAAACTAACACTCAAACAACCTCAAGTCTTCTTAAACAGAAGAAAAATTACATTCTCGTCATGCTTATGCTTACGCAGATCATGAGAGCTTTTGATAGTATGCTAATGTCTGATTTGACAAATGGGATGAAAGTTGGTGAAAGTGCAATATATAACTCTGCTGAGCAATCTGCACAGATAAGATTGTTTCGAAGGATGGCATTTCCTAGTCAAGATGTTAATTCAGATTTTTCGAGTCAAAGCACCAATTATAGTAGAGAGTTGTCTGAACATGTTTAGATGAAACATCTGTTAATATATCAAAGGCTGCTTTAGCTGAGAGGTACACTGATTAAATTTTGTAAAGTAGGTCTCTTTTTAGCTTGACATACATGTAGTTTCTGCAATTTGACAGCAATTTTTTCTGTAAGTAACTGGTACAGCTGATCAAGAGTTCATTCATTTCCTTTCTTGTTCAAGAAGGTCACAATGCAAGTCTTGATGAAATGTACAGGTCCTCCGGTTCCTTCGCGGACATCTGATAAAATTAGAACGATATAGTGATTAACATGATCCGTGTGCTAGAATGACAGACACAAATCAAGAAATGGTACGCTTCTCGAGCAAATATATAGTATCATGTATTTACCTGAAATAGGAAGAGTTTTGAAAAAATTACAATACATAATGATTTTTTGAGTTTTGCTTTGTATTTGTTTGCCTGAAGTTATATCGATTCGCTTTATATTAGTGTATCAATTTACTCTGATACAGGGTGAATTAAAAAATCTTTTTGGTACTCTTTATCATATATTTTTTAGTAGTACATTAAAAAAAAATGTAGTGGAAAAATGAAGACTTCTTCTGTAAATGTTAGGCTCTTTATTCTTTTATTTGATTCAGTCATGCTAGTGTTCCCACTGTGCTTAAAGTTGACCACTTGGCATCAAATCAATATGTTATGTGTTTGAATATAAAGTTTTTTTAAAAATCTAACTATGATTAATTAGTGTTACTTTTACCTTATATATTACTTACTAATGAAAAATTATAGTTGAAAAATTATATTATGTATATAGAAAATTATATGAAGTATATAAGTCAATTTTTTCTTTCCATATTTATATTGGATGTTGAACAGTGATTACGAAATTTCTGACTTTGTCATTACTCTTTCTAGCCACTTTTACTTATTCACTATACTAGAAGTTGATGTATATTTTGTCTAGTTTAAAAAATCAAGAGATAAATTATCATTAATAGTTCTTAATTTACCTTTCTTAATTATAGTGATTTCCCAATGTATTTTTAATATATTAAATTATTATATTCAAAGGGTAATGTAGTAAAATTGTCATTCTAATCATTATACTTTAAAAAAAGACTTGTCAAATCCTTACTACAACAATATATTCAGAATAGTTCCACAAAATTGAGTCTGAACGAGTAAAACATATTTTTAATAGACCTTCGATTCAAAATAAAAATAGTCTAAAAACAGACGTAATAAAAGTACCATAGAAGCGATATTAATTTGATTTAAATTCCATTCATTGTCTTTTTTAATTTTATTTTTGGATTTCCATTAATGGCTTCACCAACCATTCATTGAATGACAAACTGTCAGGTCACTTTCGGTGGCACTAACAGCCATGAATAAAGTTCAATAAATACAGTATTTCTGTTATTCAGAAAATAAAAATAAAAATAAACAAGTAAGTCTATATATATATATATAAGAAAAAAAACAAGTAATAAGTCTATATATATAAGAAAATTTGTTCTTATCCAAAACTAGTTACATATTTTAAGAATTACAACAAAATTTTCCTATATTTAGGTTAAACCAATAATAATTCACAATTTTTTTATATCACTTCAATAAAATAATATACCTCTACAATTTCCTCTCTCTTTCCCCTCACACGGTTTCTCATTACATCATTAAATCCAAAAAACATCTCAAACTTCTTCATTTCTCTCCTTCTATTTCCTTCAAAATATCGAGGTACCATTACGAGCTCAATAATAATATATACGTTCGTATAATGGCTAGCCTTCAATCCGATGAACAACTCAAACAACTCAAAGAAATATTCGGACGATTCGATCTTGATCATGATGGAAGCCTCACACAACTAGAGTTAGCTGCGCTTCTTCGTGCCCTAGGGCTCAAACCAACGGGCGATCAAATCCATACATTATTAGCAAATATGGATAATAATGGCAACGGGTTCATCGAATTCGATGAACTCGTAAACGCCATAATGCCTGATATGAATGCAGAAATTTTAATAAATCAAGAACAATTAATGGAGGTTTTTCGATCGTTTGATCGAGACGGTAACGGTTATATAACAGCTGCTGAGCTGGCCGGGTCAATGGCTAAAATGGGTCGCCCGTTAACGTATAAAGAATTATCTGATATGATGCAAGAAGCTGATACTAATGGTGATGGTGTTATAAGTTTTAATGAGTTTGCTAATATTATGGGAAGATCTGCTGCTGATGTTCTTGGATTAACGGTTTCGTAATCAAAAATGGATTCAAGATTTGAACTTTACAGGTCGGGTTCTGACTAATTTATTAGGTTTGAAATCTATTATATGTATGTATTATTTAACATAGAATTTAAGTCAAGGCTAGTGATTCGAATAAATTCCTAGCTCTTTTACTAGATTCGCCCCTAGTTCTTGATTAACCGGTATCTAAGAGCAGTTTTCCGATATGTTTTTATTTTTATTTTTATTTTTATTTTTAATTGTGACATTAATTAATGTTAGAAATTGGTGTTGGTTGATGAGTTGTAGATGATGACTTTGATGGTATTAGACTTGGTCCAATTGATGACTTTTATGGTGTTGTGATTTAATTTGTATTTTGTGCATTGATTTTTTCTTTGCATCTTTGTCTCTTTTTTTTTAATATAGTTTTTTTGTTTTTTAGGTCAGATTATTGGATCTTTTATTATGTGTAATGACTAATGATCAAAGGATTGTAGACAAGAATTTGACTATGTCAAAGTATTTTGAGGTTATGCGGGCCTCAATTTATATTACTCAAGGATAGGATTCCCATGGTTTGCTGTATCTATCTTTTTACTAACTTTTTTTGTTACTCTATTATTTTTAGGCATAAAGCGTTCTTTATTTTAATGTCATTTTATATTTATAATCTTCAACATTGGATGTACACAAATAGACATTTAAACTTATATAAAGTTGAATAAGTAGACACATGAGTCCTATGTGACATAATACACGTAGGACACAATGTAAAACACATATTATCATATAAGATGTCATTTGTTCAACTTTATACAAATTTAAAAGTGTCCATTTATACAGACGTAAAATTGAAAAAATAAATATAAAATCAAATCAAATTAAAAGGTATATTTATACATTATATAAATGACTTGTTTATATGGATGAAAGGGACTTCTTATTGGTAGTAAACTCAGCATCGAAAAGTAAAAAAGGGTATCTTCTGTACCACTTGTATGACATAAGACAAATATGAGACATAGTTTTAAGAAAATATTTTTCTCTAAAATTAAAGATACGTAGAACATGAACTTTATAGTACTTTTCGTATAATTTTTGAATATTGAATTTTTTTATTTAAAATATCAAATTAATGTAATCTAATTTAACTTTAAAAGTTAGAATTAGTCAAATTAACTTTTGAAAAGCGCAACATGACAAATAAAGTAGACAGATATAGTATTATTTAAGGACAAGATTGCCATGGTTAAATGTATCTATCTTTTTACTAACTTTTTTTGTTATTATTTTTAAGCATAATATATAAATGTGTTCTTTAATTTGATGTTATTTTATATTTATATTCTTCAACTTTGGTGTGCACACATAAACATTTAAATTGATATAGAGTTGAATAAATATACACATGAGTCCTATGTGACATAATAGACGTAGAACACAACATAAGACACATATTGCCATCTAGGACGTCATTTGTTCAACTTTATATAAATTATAGTGTCTACTTGTACACACGTAAAGTTGAAGAGCATAAATATAAACTAAAGTCAAATTAAAAGATATATTTATATATTATAAATTACTTGTTTATATGGATGAAAGGGACTACTTATTAGTAATTCAGTATCGAAAAGTCAAAAAGGTATCTTTTGTACCACTTGTATGACATAAGACAAATATGAGACAGAGTTTAAGATTTTTTTTATTTTTTTTTAGTTTGTGATCTCAAATTAAAAATATGTAGAACGTATTAAAATGTCATTTTATATTGGTCATTTTAAACCTGTCATGAGAAAAATTTAGAATTAAAAAGTTGCAAAGAAAAATAACATTCTATTTGAAACAGATTAAAAAGGAAAGTAAGATAAACAAATTAAAACGGAGGGAATATTAATTAGGACACCACGCTCAATTTTTTTTCCTCAACTTTGACATCCTAGTTAAGTCGTTATGAAAATGACTCATATATATACTTATTGTTACACAAATAGCTCACATATCATTTTCCTCTAATATAAGTGAAAAAAATAATTTTAAATTAATAACGAAAGGTATATCAGCTCTAAATGATAAAACTAAAGGGTATATTAAGCTTTTTTTTTAAGGTGAAAGGGTCCCCGATTAGGATTAGCGCTAATAATTTTTAAGAAGTTATTTGATCTCTCAAAATCAGCCTCCAAAAAGGAACTTTTCATGCTGGCTACTTCACTCAACACACAATATCACACATGTTATTTGGGTCAAATAACATGTTGGGTTAATGATAATCTAATGTGATTAAACTGATTTGGTGGGATAAATTCAAGCTGTTAATCATTTTGTTTCGGCTTTGGGCCTAGATAAACATTTAAAGGCCCAATTATTAAACGCTAGAAGAGCGAGATGATATGAATCTTTTTAAAACCCCATTGCAAATGTAATTGTGCTTGTAGCAGAACTTTAAAAATGACTAAAATTTGGACTTAATGAGAGATCTATAGCTATAATTTGCATAATTACGATGCATAGCTAAGTTAGAAGGAGGAGAGAGGCAATCAATGATTTGGGAGAGAGAAAAGATGGTAGATACAAGATATATTCAACTTATACATGTTATATAAACACATACAATCTGGTATAGATTGCATTCAATATATACATGTGGTTAGAGGGAAGAGAGAGGGAGAGAAAGACATGATAGAGAGGAGGATTTATTCTAATTCTACGATTTTTTCTAGAACACTATTTTTCTTGAATATTATTCAATAAATTTTCGGAGAGGGATGAGAGAGGGAGAGAGCTGGAAACGAGTGGAGAGATTTGCTATAAAACCTCGAGAATAGTTATATTAGATAATATTTTAAAACTATAACTATATTATACCTACATAGTAGTTATGTTTGCTTGTAGTTTTCCTTATCTGTATATACGTATTTACAACAAAATTGGGCCAATAGAACTGGACCTACAATATTTGAAAGGATTTGAGCAGAAGGATTAGGAAATTTCTAATGTTGTATTTCCTCCAAAACTTGGTATTTGTACCAGTATTTACAACTAAGATTAAATGAAAAATAAATAAAAGAAAATAACCAACTATACAGTTGTCATTCTTTTATTTGTACAAAATTAACAAACTTATTCCTTCACATGTTTATCACGTGAGCTGAGCTTCTTGGAAGTTTCCCCTTTCTGTACAGGTGTCCTCTGATCCAATGGCCATGATCTCATCTTTGTATCTCTGATCAAAGGCCCTGATTGTTCCATATCAACTTCAGATTTATACTTTGATTTGGTCGAGGAAGCATTTCTCTTGTCTGAAATCTGATGCTTCCTCTTCGTTGTTTCTTCTCCAATTCTTGCAACACTTCCTTCATTCAAAGATGAGGAAGATGATGGATCTTTGTCAATATCCCCCCTCAAATTGGAGGGTGATGATTGTGTAGCAGAAAACGGTGAGAGTCGTCGGATAAAGGTTTAGTAAAGATATCGGCGAGCTGTTGACTGGACGGAACAAAAGAGAGTGTGATTAGCCCAGAAATGAACTGTTGTCGCACAAAATGACAGTCTTAATCAACATGCTTCGTTCTTTTGTGGAAAACTGGGTTCTTCGCGATGTGAATAGCTGCCTAGCTATCGGAGTGGACTGTGATAGGTAAAGACGGATGTATTGAAATATCGTCAAGAAGACGAACAAGCCAAGTAATTTCAACAGTAACCCTTCTCATAGACCTGTACTCCGCCTCAGCAGAAGATAATGAGATTGAGACTTGTTTCTTTGATTTCCAGGACATAGGATCTCCACCAAGAGTAATGAAATATCCACTAATAGAACGTCTGCTATCCCTGCAGGAAGCCCAATCAGCATCGCAGAAAGCCAGCAACTCAAAAGAGGGATCTGATGAAAGAAGGATTCCTTGGCCAGGGTCTGTGCGAAGCTACCGGAGGACATGAATAGTTGCATTAAAGTGAGATTCCCGAGGATTTTGCATATACTGACTCAGTGACAAGACGGCAAACGACAAATCAAGTCTAGTATGGGTTAAGTAGTTAAGCTTGCCCACGAGATGTCTGTAGATGGTGGGATTAGAGAGAAGAGGTCCGTCATCAGCAAGCAATTTGGAATATGGATCAAGAGGAGATAAAACTGCCGCACCAGAACAATCAAATTCCTGGAGGAAGCTTTAAGGTAAATTTTCATTGATTGATGATAAACCATGTTTTTCTTGGAGTACTTCCATACCCAAAAAATATTGAATCTCCCCCAAATGTCTGACCTTGAATTCTGTGTTTATAAAGAGCATAATCTGGTTGATTTCTGATTGATCATTACCTGTAATCAAAATGTCATCGACATAAACTGCTATAAGAGACACCAAAGAACCAGTCTTCTTATAAAACAAGGAATAGTCATTTAAAGAGCTGGTGTATCCTTTGTAAGTGAGAGCCCCAGCTAGCTTGGCATACCACTGTCGAGATGCTTGTTTCAATCCATAGAGGGATTTTCTTAAGAGGCAAACCAGATCAGGATTTGGAGTAGGCATACCAGCAGGGATTTTCATATACACCTTTTCATGTAGGTCTCCATGCAAAAAGGCATTACTAACATCTAACTGATGTACAATCCACCCTTTCTTTACAGCAGCAGTGAGGAAACATTTAATGGTGGTCATCTTGACCAATGGTGAAAATGTCTCAGTAAAATCCACACCTTCTCTCTGAATATGCCTTCTTACCACTAGTCTGGCCTTCAACCTCTCTAGTGTACTATCAGACTTATGTTTAACCTTGTAAACCCACTTACAAGGTAGGGGTTTCTTTCCTGGAGGCAACTCTACCAAATCCCAAGTGTGATTGTAGTTAAGAGCAGTTGATTGTGGAGTGATAGAGAGCCAAAAGAATAAGCAGTAGGGGTAGGGGTAGGAGGATGGACAAAACAAGCATTGGTAAGGTCAGTGAGATATATAATGTTACATACATAGTCAGAAAGATACTTAGGTCTGTGACTAATCCTGGCAGACCTTCTTGGGGGTGCAGGAGAAAGATCAGGAGAAGATGAAGTGGGAGTATGAGACACAGGAAATGAAGATTCCTTTATATGAGATCATGTGTTTATTGAAGGGGAGGAAGTTTCTGGAGTGGTAGCAGGAGAAGG